TTTTGTGAAAGAGCACAGTTAGAAAGATATGGCATATAGAAGCATCCAGATGGACATCATGAACATGATCGGAGGAAGTTCAGGAGTAAAAACAAAACAAAATATAATTATTGACTGTGTCCATAAAATGCAGATAGTATGTTAAGCATGTAGAGGCCTAAGCATTGTTGTTCACTAGTTTACTCCAATTAGGGAAGGGAGGGGTGGGGGTTTTGAAAGTAATAAAGGGAAATATATATATTTTTAAAGGATATGTATTTATATACAGTGGGGAGAACAAGTTTTTGATACACTGCTGATTTTGCAGGTTTTCCTACTTACAAAGCAGGGTAGAGGTCTGTCATTTTTATCACAGGTACACTTCACATGTGAGAGACATAATCTAAAAAAAAAATCCAGAAATCACATTGTATGATTTTAAGTAATTAATTTGCATTTTATGCAGGGACAAAAGTATTTGATCACCTCCCAAACCAGTAAGAATTCCGGCCTCACAGACCTGTTAGTTTTCTTCAAGAAGCCCTCCTGTTCTCCACTCATTCCCTTTTATTAACTGCACTGTTTGAACTCATTACCTGTATAAAGACAACCTGTCCCCACACTCAATAAAACAGACTAACCCTCCACAATGGCCAAGCCCAGAGAGCTGTGTAAGGCCCTCAGGGATAAAATTGTAGACTTGCACAAGGCTGGGATGGGCTAAGGACAATAGGGAAGCAGCTTGGTGAGAAGGCAACAACTGTTGGCACAATTATTAGAAAATGGAAGAAGTTCAAGATGACGGTCAATCACCCTCGGTCGGGGCTCCATGCAAGATCTCACCCCGTGGGGCATCATGGTCATGAGGAAGGTGAGGGATCAGCCCAGAACTACACGGCAGGAAACCCGGTCAATGACCTGAAGAGAGCTGGGACCACAGTCTCAAAGAAAACCATTAGTAACACACTACGCCGTCATGGATTAAAAAACCTGCAGCGCACGCAAGGTCCCCTGCTCAAGCCAGCGCATGTCCAGGCCCGTCTGAATTTGCCAATGACCATCTGGATGATCCAGAGGAGGAATGGGAGAAGGTCATGTGGTCTGATGAGACAAAAATAGAGCTTTTTGGTCTAAAAATCCATCGCCGTGTTTGGAGAAGAAGAAGGGGTAAGTACAACCCCAAGAAAAAACCCTCCCAACCGTGAAGCATGGAGGTGGAAACATCATTCTTTGGGGATGTTTTTCTGCAAAGGGACAGGACGACTGACCGTTTGAAGGAAGAATGATTGGGCTAGTGTATCGTGAAGATTTTGGTGAACAACCTCCTTCCCTCAGTCAAGGGCATTGAAGATGGGTCGTGGCTGGGTCTTCAGCATGACAATGACCCAAACACCACGCCAGGCAACTAGGAGTGGCTTCGTAAGATGCATTTCAAGGTCCTGGAGTGGCCTAGCCAGTCTCCAACCTCAACCCCATAGAAAATCTTTGGAGGGAGTTGAAAGTCCGTGTTGCCCAGCACAGCCCCAAAACATGAAGGACTGGCGAAGGTCTATGGAGGAGTGGGCCAAAATCCTCCGTACGTGTGTGAAACCTGTAAGACTTTCAGAAAACGTTTGACTTGGGAATTGCCAAACAAAGGTCTATAACAAAATTGAAGTTCTGCTTTTCTGATTACCAAATACTTATTGTCAGCAACAAATGCTATACTTAAAAAATCATACAATGTGATTTCTGGATTTTTGTTTAGATTTCGTCTGTCACAGTTGAAATGTACCTATGATGAAAATACAGACCTCTGCTTTTGTTTAAATAGGAAACTTGCAAAATCGGCTGTAAAATTTTTTCTCCCACTGTATAATATAGCGGAAAAACAACATTGATTGGAATGCATTGCAGGTCTACATTGAGAAGTTAGTCTATACAATTTTAAAGCTATCTACCAACTGAAAAAAAAATTAATAATAATTCCAGAAAACTTCGACATTTAGATTCTTAAATAAGGTGATCCTAACTGCACTAAAACAGGAAGTATTTATAGATTAAATAGCAGAATTTAATAATTGAAGAAATTTTTTGATTCGTATGTAAACTTCCTTCGTCTTGACGTTATCACACCGCAGTGTATTTTAGTTCACTACCCCACCTTTCAATCCCTTATGGCTGCGTGGGCGAACCGCCCTTTAAGCTCCTCCAAGATTTCTATTGGGATAAGCAGTAAAACATAAAGCACCCACCAAATTATATTGTTATATTCTATTCTTAGTATTATTTTTAGCCCGGTGTGTGTTTCAGTGTTGGAACCCATCCCTGTCTCAGGTTCAACTGCCATTCAGAGGGGGCTGGGTGATTAAGTCTGGCATACATGGCCCTCCAGCGGCGGCAACAAGTGTAAGCTATCAGGCCATCGCCATATGGCTGTCTCACTGGTCCTGCGTGAAGCTCCAAATAGGAGTCCTGACATGTCTTCTCAGTTAGGGGGTTACCGGAAATAGAAATGTTCGCATCTGCTTTTGGTGTATCCAAAATGTAGGTGGTACTAGCCGAGGGAGCTACACTGCAGATCCCCATTCAGTCGTTTCCTGTGGCTCGATAAGAGGAATCCAAAGGCCGACAATGGGCAATTAATCGGTGCAGTCTCCTGTCCCCTTTGGCTAAATGGTAATACCGTCAGTTGGTCATCGCCCCATCATTGTTTTCCATTAGTAGTTTAGAAAGTTATTGTCTAACCCCATTAGACAAATATTTTTTTTTCCCCACTGTTATACGTGGGGAAAAAGTTTTTTATACCCTGCCTTTTTGCAGGTTTTCCTACTCAAAGCATGTAGTGTCTGTACTTTTTATCAAGGTACACTTCAACTGTGAGAGACGGAATCTAAAACAAAAATCCAGAAAATCACATTGTATGATTTTTAAGTAATTAATTTGCATTTTATTGCATGACATAAGTATTTGATACATCAGAAAAGCAGAACTTAATATTTGGTACAGAAACCTTTGTTTGCAATTACAGAGATCATACGTTTCCTGTAGGTCTTGACCAGGTTTGCACACACTGCAGCAGGGATTTTGGCCCACTCCTCCATACAGACCTTCTCCAGATCCTTCAGGTTTCGGGGCTGTCGCTGGGCAATACGGACTTTCAGCTCCCTCCAAAGATTTTCTATTGGGTTCAGGTCTGGAGACTGGCTAGGCCACTCCAGGACCTTTAGATGCTTCTTACGGAGCCACTCCTTAGTTGCCCTGGCTGTGTGTTTCCGGTCGTTGTCATGCTAGAAGACCCAGCCACGACCCATCTTCAATGCTCTTACTGAGGGAAGGAGGTTGTTGGCCAAGATCTTGCGATACATGGCCCCATCCATCCTCCCCTCAATGTAGCTCCTGAGTGGCGCAGTGGTCTAAGGCACTGCTTTGCAGTGCTAACTGTGCCACTAGAGATCCTGATTCGAATCCAGGCTCTGTCGCAGCCGGCCGCGACCGGGAGACTCATGGGCGGCGCACAATTGGCCCAGCGTCGTCCAGGGTAGGGGAGGGAATGGCCGGCAGGGATGTATAAAATAAAGTATATATATATATTTATTCACTAACTGTAAGTCGCTCTGGATAAGAGCGTCTGCTAAATGACTAAAATGTAAATGTAATACGGTGCAGTCGTCCTGTCCCCTTTGCAAAAAAGCATCCCCAAAGAATGATGTTTCCACCTCCATGCTTCACGGTTGGGATGGTGTTCTTGGGGTTGTACTCATCCTTCTTCTTCCTCCAAACATGGTGAGTGGAGTTTAGACCAAAAAGCTCTATTTTTGTCTCATCAGACCCCATGACCTTCTCCCATTCCTCCTCTGGATCATCCAGATGGTCATTGGCAAACTTCAGATGGGCCTGGACATGCGCTGGCTTGAACAGGGGGACCTTGCGTGCGCTGCAGGATTTTAATCCATGATGGCGTAGTGTGTTACTAATGGTTTTCTTTGAGACTGTGGTCCCAGCTCTCTTCAGGTCAATGACCAGGTCCTGCCGTGTAGTTCTGGGCTGATCCCTCACCTTCCTCATGATCATTGATGCCCCACGAGGTGACATCTTGCATGGAGCCCCAGACTGAGGGTGATTGACCGTCATCTTGAACTTCTTCCATTTTCTAATAATTGCGCCAACAGTTGTTGCCTTCTCACCAAGCTGCTTGCCTATTGTCCTGTAGCCCACCCCAGCCTTGTGCAGGTCTACAATTTTATCCCTGATGTCCTTACACAGCTCTCTGGTCTTGGCCATTGTGGAGAGGTTGGAGGCTGTTTGATTGAGTGTGTGGACAGGTGTCTTTTATACAGTTCAATAAAATGCAAATGTATTACTTAAAAATCATACAATGTGATTTTCTGGATTTTTGTTTTAGATTCCGTCTCTCACAGTTGAAGTGTACCTATGATAAAAAGTACAGACCTCTACATGCTTTGTAAGTAGGAAAACCTGCAAAATCGGCAGTGTATCAAATACTTGTTCTCCCCACTGTATATATATATGCGAGAAAAAAAAAACATATGGGGGATTGGAAGTGATGCAGACAATTACATTGATGGAAGTTACAATCTATCTGCAATATTAAAGCTTATCTACCCCCTAAAAAAAAATATATATATAATAGTTTTTAAAAAAACTTCTGACATTTCACATTCTTAAAATAAAGTGGTGATCATAACTGACCTAAGACAGGGAATTTTTACTAGGATTAAATGTCAGGAATTGTGAAAAACTGAGTTTAAATGTATTTGGCTAATGTGTATGTAAACTTCCGACTTCAACTGTATATCCACCACAGTGTATTAATGTATTTCACAAACCCACTTGTTTATTTACCCTTTATTGACCCTGGCCGTGAACCCACTCTCCGAGGGTGTCTCAAGGAGAGTTGGGATAAGCAATAAAAACACAATATACGCACCCACCAAATTATTATTGTTATTATTATATTATTATTATTTATTTATTTAGCCAGGTAGAGGTGGCAGTAATGTGTCCCTATCCTGTCTCAGGTGGCAGACTGGGCCATTCAGAAGCTGGGTCTGGCTGAATATGCTGGCCACACAGCCGGGACCTACAGCGGCGGCAACAAGAGAAAACTTTCCACGGCCATCGCCATGATCGGCTGTCCTCCACTGGTCCTGCTGGTGAGCTCACCATTACTGGAGTCATCCATGGGTCTTCAGTTAGGGGGTTAAGGGGAAATAAGAAATTGTTCTGTATTCTGCTTGTTAGTGTGTATCTGAAGATGTTTCTATGTGTGTTACTATCCAGGACGAGCCCACCACTGGCATGGACCCCCACTCACGTCGTTTCCTGTGGAACTCCATAATGAGTGTAATCCAGGATGGCCGAGCAGTGGTCCTCACCTCACACAGTATGGAGGAGTGTGAGGCTCTGTGTACCCGTCTGGCTATTATGGTCAATGGAACCTTCCAGTGTCTTGGTACCATCCAGCACCTCAAATACAAGTAGGTTATTTCTCACATTTCCTTCAGGATATAGTTACTACTGAATAGTTTAGTGAATAGATCTGAAACCCACAAAGTTAATGCTACTGCCTTAATGTTACAGTACAAACTGTAAAATAAAATACTATTTCCCTGCATGTACCTTCTTCATCTGTACCCAATTATCTACTATGAGTCTAACCAGCCCTGGATTGTATTGGACTGTGTGTTTGTAGGTTTGGTGATGGTTATGTGGTCACCATGAAGATCCAGGCCTCCACATCAGGTTGTCCCCCAGACCTGAACCCAGCCGAGGCCTTCATGGAGAGCACCTTCCCTGGCTGTGTCCAGAGGGAGAAACACTACAACACTCTGCAGTATGAAATCGCCTCTTCCTCCTTGGCTAGGATCTTCCAGCTGGTCCTGGCCAACAAGGACCGCCTCAATATAGAGGACTACTCCGTCTCCCAGACAACACTAGATCAGGTAAACACTCACCTAGTCTTTCTCGCTCAACTTTGTTGTTGAAGGTCTAGCTAGCGAGACAGAGACTTTGAGTAAGGCTCATGAGATAATTACTAACCAGAGATGAAAGGACAGCAGCCAGGAAATATATTCTATGTTCTTTATTGATCTAAGTTCAGTAAGAAACACCTAAGAAATCTATGGACTTAGTGGTAGAAAAAAACTATAACGAGTTCAGAAGTGGGAAATACCTCCATTGTTAGCATTTTATGTAACAAATACAGTACCTCTCAATATTTGCATCTATTGATAAGCAAAGTAAATATAGATGGAATTGAAACCATCGTATTCTGACACCCTTGCTCAAGTCAAATTGTGTCACCCATGTGTCAAATAGACTCCTGCGTCACCCATATCCACATTCTTACACATCAGCCATCTTCTATCCAGTGTCATTTTTCCTCATACCATCTTGTAGGACTTCAAAGGATAAAAGGCTGACTTTTTGGATCTTCATTCTGTGAAATTCTGTGAATGTAAGATGTTTATTCTCTGGTATGTGTATCCCCCCAGGTATCCAGTGTTCTCTTGTAATTTTTATCCAAGGTTAATAAGTGTCCATTTTGGCTCTTGACTATGTTTATTCCCTGGTGTATCTCTCTCCTCTCTCCAGGTGTTTGTGAACTTTGCCAAGCAGCAGTCAGGAGAGGATGATGGCATGGTGCTGCACCCGAGGGCCGCTGGGGCACGGAGAAAAGAAATTAAGGTCACACCCCTAAGTTGTCTGGGGAAATGAAACGTCCCTCCCCACACACGCACACAGACACACACACACACGTAAAACACACGCACACACCCACACACATGCACGCGTAAACATACACACACACACACCAGAAACCCAGACAGGAAGAGTTGTCTGGAGAATTGAACGCTCCCAGAAGACTAAGTGGAGGATAGTGGAGGGAGGTTGACTAGTTGGTGACACTACTGGTGACTGGTGAGAGACTGATTGAAAGAGGAAACATTCCCAGCAGTTGCAGCGCTACATTTCTGCAAGAAAATTGTAACATTGAACTGTTACCAAAAACAATGCCTGTATTCGCTTCATATGCTCTTATAATGCCAAGGAAGATGATCTGTTTTGTTTGGCCTTTGGTTTTGATAAATGAAAATCTACTAGTGCAATAGAGACTTTGACTGTAAAAATGCATTTGCTGCTATTGAATTCATATTGAAATGATGATGTGATTTTGTAAGCCTATATATACTGTTCAAACATTGCGCTTCCTTGTGTGTATACAATTTTGAAGTTCTATGTAAATGGCAGATCAATTATTAGTTTGCTAATCAGAGATTATACATAAAAAATAACATTAAATTGTCTCTGCGATAATAATAATTTCAAATAAATATTTTCTGTAAACATCGACTGATTCTTTGTGAAATATGCATGACTCCTTTTAGATGAATTGACATGATAGAAGACTTGTATCTTTTAAATGATCAACATGATTTATTTGTTATGTACACTTTATACAAGTTTGGCTGTAATTTGTACAGTATGTAACAGTACCTTTTACATCTAGTAACTCCTGAGAATTTGTCAGATTGTAGTTATATTGAACAATATATAAAGTAATAAATCAGTGAATTATCCTCAATCGTCTCACAAAGTTAAAATCATCAGGTTGCTCGTTACATTCAAACATGTACAGCTTCATTGTAGAGGGGGGAAAAAATCTGCTTTAAAACTTAGAACATCTGCTAAAGTTTTATTTTCAATTTTCCTGGCTCTAGAACACTTCTCAGTTAACACACTCCGCTTTCCCTACTCTACTTACTCTGCAAATACTGAAAATAGCCCCGTTACACGTCAGCCATAATAAATATTGTTCCTGAAGACTTCCTAAACAGGTATATCATATCAAGTTACATACACACATTTCCTCTAGGAAATGCACAATAACTTATAACTAAATAATATGGTAGATTATATATAACTTCAATCATATATTCATAACTTCATAGTTTCTGACGATTTCCACTGTCTAAAGCTGCATTGTAACAGTCAATCAATCATCATGGTCAGTAACATGACTAATACTAATAACTCATCAATATAGATGTGTTTCAATCATTTAACTAAACATTATTAATGGGAACATTCTCATTAGCAGTTAATCAACAGTATTGTTGAGATGACATAGTCCTTTCTGTGAATTCACTATTAGACAGTATATTCATAAAAAGTGAATCCACACATCAACAATACTCAATGTCTATGAATCCTTAACACTGTTAGTTTGCTTCTCTTTCTAAGCCAATGGCATAGTCTATCCTTGCATAGTGGTTGTTGGAAAGATAACAGACCATTGCCATGGCTATAGATGAAGGAGCAGTGGGTCTTCTTGCTTTGTGTGAAACACAGTGACCCACTAATCACCACAACCTTTCAAGCAGGCTGAAGCCCCCAATACTTCTACAGTCAGAATGGTAAACCTTTGTAGTGTGGTCAGAGGAGGAGCGGGATTATTGGCATACGCAGATTTGGGTAGTCCATAAACTCCCTGACGTAGGTTTTATGCTTCCCTTTGGCCCAGATAGTCATCTGAATGAACGCTAAGAAGGTGAACAAGGCCACTGTGGAGGGACAGAGAAATAATAGAGCATGTATTGTACCTTCGTGGCAACACACAAACAAGTAGTGTATATAAAATGCTTGGGTGAGTAAAATGGCCAGTGTATTCAGTATATATGGTAAATAAACTTGAATGTATAAAATATGATGTGAATCAACTGACCTGGTAGACACTGGGTCATGACAGAGAAACTCGCCCAGGCTCCTACCTAATGATAAGAAATACAGATATTTTGTTACTCCGTTGATATTCTGTATTATTAACAGACGTGTGTGACTCTTCCTGACTGGCAAACATTGATAATTCCATAAACCTCTGCTATATAGTCACAAAACATTATCATAGTCTTCAGCCTGACCTCGTAGGTATAATTGGGGCAGGACACGAAGAAGAACAGCCATGTGAATGGGTTCTTCGTCGGGTGAGGGAACTTTTTGCACTTGGGCCCACCTTCTGCCTTGAGGTTATTCAGGGCCACGTGAATGGAGAAATTCCCTAACTCACAGAGCTGCATTCAAAACACAAACACATATCGGGTTCACACACGTCCAAGTCATCTGTAATAATGATGTCTCATGTTTACGACCTCTTTGGGTTTCTGTCAGCAATACATACCACAAATATGGCCAGTGCATAGTTCACTTGCATATCCCCATACGCTGTGGAGAGACATAAGCCATTGGTTAGTTTAGATGTTTTGGTGAGCCCTTGAGAGATGTGATATTCTTATTATTGTGATGTGGTGTACCTATTTATGGAGCTAAGGAGGGACTGTAAGTCTTGTTGAGGCACTGAGTGGTAGGTCTGAATGATAGAGGACTTACATGGTGGTGTGTACAGTGGATGGTTGATGTAGAAGGCTAACCATGCTGAGAAGACCCAGTAATATACACAGTTCTGACAGAAAGAGAGGGAAACACAAGTAAGCATACTGCCAATTTGGCAGTTTCTAATCAAACTCATATATTATTATTGTAAAATATGTATAATTGCATTTCTATGCTCTAATCAGAGAATGATACTGCTGCAGTGTATAAGAAACCTTTGATAGGACAAAGACAGAACAGCACTGTATGTTTTGTATTGAGAATTTGAGGAGAAGTAGTTGGAATTGACATTATCCTGTAAATTACATGACTCTAATGTAAAGGACCACTGTAAAGTATGATAGTAGTACTATAAATTACATGACCCTAATGTAAAGGAGCACTGTAAAGTATGATTGTAGTACTATAAAATACATTACTCTAATGTAAAGGAGCACTGCAAAGTATGATAGTAGTACTATAAATTACATGACCTTAAAGTAAAGTAGCTCAAGTCAAAGTGAAACGGTGTTCTGGAGTATGTGGTCCGTACCCTGACTATAGTCCTGAGAGGCATGGTACCATGGGAGAACCGGTGCACAAAGATAGTCTCAATCAACCTCTTGATGTAGTGGCAGGTGTGACAGGCACAGGCTAGTCTGAAGGAGAGAAGAGAGAGAGAGACAAAGAGAGAGGAAGATAGTCAGGTGGGAAGAGAGAGAGGAAGATAGTCAGGTGGGAAGAGAGAGATGAAGATAGTCAGGTGGGAAGAGAGAGAGGAAGATAGTCAGGTGGGAAGAGAGAGAGGAAGATAGTCAGGTGGGAAGAGAGAGGAAGATAGTCAGGTGGGAAGAGAGAGAGGAAGATAGTCAGGTGGGAAGAGAGAGAGGAAGATAGTCAGGTGGGAAGAGCGAGAGGAAGATAGTCAGGTGGGAAGAGAGAGAGGAAGAGGGGGAGGGGGGATGAAGTCAAAGAAAGAGAAAGAAAGACAAATGTTAGATTTGGATGTTAGTTGTAACTGATCAGTATATTATTGGGTGTATTAGTGCCTGACTTACGTGACCACTGAGTAGGGGCTGGAGGTGAAGGCATCCTGGTGTGAGTAGATATACGGAACTCGGAAATAGAACAGGAGGTAGATAAACAGGGGACCAATGTACTCCGCTAAAAACACCTGCCAATAGAAGAAAAGGGTTGTAAGATGTCCAAGATGACATTACACATGTCAAATAAACATGAAACTTGAAAGAAGAGGCTCATGTCAAATGCCAAAGTTAATAAGAGTCTGATGGGGGACTACAGTTTGAATCTATTGTATGTCACAGCCTCTTACCATTGTCCACCCGACCTGTGGACCCAGGTCCCTAAAATACATGGTTGCTGTGGTCCCAACTGGTAGGTTTTGTAATACATCGTCATCCCTCAGTGATTTTCCTTCTGAAAAATATTATAAACAAGACCTTGTGAAAATAAAATGCAGATTGGTTGTCCTGCTCCTTTTCACACAGACCAAGGACATGGATTCTAAGAATATTTCTCTATTAGAACCAATTCATGTTTCATGTTCTCTTGTCCTACAAGCTCAGCTAGGTGACCTTACTCCTAACCTGTTACGTGGAGAAATAATTGAAAGTAATTTTAGTGTAAGCTCAACAGGGTAGATATTGAACCATTTAGCTACAGTGTTTTCTGCTAAATGAGATTGCATAACGGTAGACCTTTTCTCTTCAGTAACAAGCTATATTAAGAGTGTACATGCTAGTTTACAACCTAATCATCACGTCACACCCTGACAACAGGGACAACAGAGAATTTATTAGCTATCTAGCTTTTGTTCCAGCTTTTAACTTTGTAGATTGTATTGTATTAAATATCCAATGCAATCAAATGTTTAAAAACAAATGAGGATGTAAAACTAAGTAACTCAACACTCCAGCAGCACTCTGCTACAGTTTAGATTGATAGTACTAGTTATCTAAACACATACAGTATTCACTTACTGGGGTCGAGCTTGAGGTCCTGTCGAGCTGGATACAACTGTTGATCTGAGACACACGCGCATACACGCGCACACACACACACAGAAACACACAGAAACACAGAAACACACACACACACAAACACACACACAAACACACACACACAGTTTAGTTTGGCTTCAGGCCTAGTAGTAATTAATCACAATGGAGTAGACTTCAGCTGTATTGCTCTCATTGCCTCCGACAGTTCCAGACTCACTAGACATAGCATCTGGTCGGTCTGGTTACACACATGGACCATATAACTTCTAGACCAGATTATAAGTAAACAAACGCAGACTAGCAAGTTTGCAAGTTCACCCAAGTCATAGACTGTTCTCTCTGCTACCGCACGGCAAGCGGTACCGGAGCGCCAAGTCTAGGTCTAAAAGGCTCCTTAACAGCTTCTACCCCCAAGCCATAAGACCGATGAACAATTAATAAAATGGCCACCAGGACTATTTACATTGATCCCGCCCTACCTACATGTACAAATTACCTTGACTAACCTGTACCACATTGACTCGGTACCGGTACCCCCTGTATATAGCCTCGTTATTGTTATTTTCATGTGTTACCTTTTATAAAAATATATACTTTTGTTTATTTAGTAAATATTTTTTAAACTCTATTTCTTGAACTGCATTGTTGGTTAAGGGCTTGTAAGTAAGCATTTCACGGTAAGGTCTACACCTGTTGTATTTGGCGCATGTGACAAATAACATTTGATTTGATTGATTTGATGAAGGCAGACAACAAACACATACATGACTTGTGAAAAAGACTCTTGATTTCTCCTATTGTAGCATGGGGCTCCACCTGGAAATAGAGATACATTATCAGTGAAATGAGTATAAGTAACACCAACATATTAAAATACTTCCATGATAACCTAGATGTTCAAGCTCATGCTATTTGAACTATAATTCATGCACTTGTCATAGACTTCTGAATATTCTGAATATTTTGTCAGGACTAATAGCCAGGGCGTGGGCTGTAGCCTACCTTATCTAGAAAACACAGCTGTTGCCTGGTCCTGCCATCCAGAACCTCCACCTGTGGGAGAGAAAACCTGGTGAGTGACATCAAACAGTATACAGTAGCCAGTAGCCAGTAAGCAGCATGTACAACTTCTGGACGTTACACAATGCCTACAGGAGGACTGGCAGATCGAAAAGTTCAGGATAAGTGTCAGTAAATCAGGAAGTGTCAATGTGATTATCTGTTGGTAGCATCGTTCCCTGTCCGCTGACTCCGCTGTCTCATCAACACTTCCCAGCAGTAACACCCTGACCTTAGTCAGCCTCACTCTCAAGAAGAAGAAGAAGTAGGTTCAATGCAGCTTTCTTAGTGGCTTCTTCAAGTAATACACAGCCTATACCAGGCTTCTGTCTCTCTTAGCATAGTGAGTATTCAATCATACCTTCACCATTGTCATGGAAAGCCACAGAGATGACGTTTTCAGGCTTGATTTGTCCAAACTGAAGTTGAGAGGACAGCTTGCATCTAATTCTTCATCCAGTCAAACTGTCTTTGAGTCAACATCTTACCAACTGTCCCCTGACACCACAAGATAGTTCCACTCAAGCCAATATCGATAATCTCACCCAAGAGCACCCTTCAGTCACAGCCTGGCTACCTATATTATCACATGACCTCAAAAACCAAAGGTGGAGGTCGAAAAGAGCATCCTTCCTTTTCAAGAGGGGTGACTTTGCGAACTAGTCCAAGTCAAGAAGGATGCGTCGAGTCTGGCGGAGGTTGCAGTGAAGGCAGATCTTTTTAATCTAAATTAGCCTTTGTCAGGTGGTGATCTACCGTATATCCACAGAGAGGCCCGTCGGCGGGCGGCTGCAATCTGCCCTGAAAGCACTCGGTGGGCTATCCATAGTGTGGAGCTCAGCAGAGCTGTCGTATCTAAATTGCTCTTTTACTGGATAGTGTAATAACCTTCTAATGGATAACTAAAGTTTTGCTGAATGCACAGCTAAAGAAAAGCACAGAGAGAGGGGGAGAGAGAGAGAGAGAGAGAGAGAGAGAGAGAGAGAGAGAGAGGGAGACAGTAGAGAGAGATAGAGAGGTAGAGATCGATATATATAGTCTCGATAGATGTCTCATTAGATATGAGAGATATAGGATCGAGAGATTCTCGCGCTTAGGTTTCTAGAGTCTCGTTCGGTTTTTGTTTTTTGTTTTTTTTGTGGTTTTTGGTGGGGGGGGTTGGGGGGGTAGAAGGAGAGAGGCCCACCAAGGATGGACAATGATCAATTCCATCCTCCCCCTGCTTGCCTGTGTTTGAATGTTTTGATGTTATGATGTGCTATTGCATTAGAGAGCTACCATAACTGCAATACAGGGGTGTTTGTCTAGCTGATGGTGTGCGAGGAGAGGAGTGTCGGGGGTGTCATCAGTGTGGTGTCGTGTAAAACAGTTTGTACTCAGTGTCGCGGTGCCCTTGTCAATCCAATTATCATAGATGTCTCTCCGCTCTCAGGGGGACACAAGGTTCTGCTGATGGAGCAGAGAGAGAGAGAGAGAGAGAGAGAGAGAGAGGAGAGAGAGAGAGAGAGAGAGAGAGAGAGAGAGAGAGAGCGAGAGCGGGAGTGCAAAGTCCCGCTGGTGTCAAACCAGAGATGAGAGAAAGACAACCCTGTAAATATAAAAGTCCTGAAATTGCTGATCTACAAACTACACATAATAGTTGTAATGTCAAACCATATCATAACTGACCATAAGGGATTGACAATTGAATTGAAGGCAATAGTAAATGGCGTAGCACATACTGTACATGTATTCACTTTGCCTTGCCTAACCAAGTCCGCTCACGCAAAGATACTAGATGATTGAGATGTGTCTATTCTCTCTTTAAAAGCTGTCAAACCACTCCCCTGGCCAGACAATGACTGTTGTTGTAAATCAGGAGCAGTTGATTTCCGTGCTCTCCCTATTGACAGCCTGCCTTAAATCTGCCTTAGCCCCCCCTCCACCTGCTGTAAATACACTAGTAATGATGAGTGATGGACAAGGCCTTCCCAGCAACACACTCTAAGTAATGGCTGACAGATCCACTGATGTCTCTGAGTGCTGGAGCTAGTGTTTTAGCTAAAGATGTTTTAGCATTCTAGCTAAAACACCGGGAGGGATGAATACATTTACATTTTAGTCAAAGCATGCAGTTTATTAGGCTACAGATGAAATAAGTTATGATGAACTTCACAGGGTGATGAAAGTGCACGTTGATGTGCTTGATGCTCCTTTCCAATAAATATTGAGGGTCTTAACATGCTAGTGACATGATGATCGTTGACAACTAAAAATGATCTGACTCTTATCCATAATCTCATCATGTAGCCAGTCTGCAAGCAGTTTAGCTCCCCACTGGACACACACTGGTTGATTGTTTCCAAGTCATTTCAATGAAATTACGTTGAACCAACGCTGAATAGTCCCCAGTGGGTAGAGAGCATGTGCCAAGACCAGAGTGGGCACATTAAATGTTTTTGGTACAAATGTAGCTGTTTATTGCAATACTTTTTGTGCCAAAACCATAGACAGAGTTTTTAATGGGATGGAAAACATAGAACTTCTGTTTTTTATTCGGCAATTGAAAAGTTATATAACAAGGTGCTTTTTATGCACACTACGCTATTACATACAGGTTTTGATGGAACAAGCCAGTTTGACAGAAACAGACCGCTACCGCTAAAATGCAAATTTTCTTGTGCGAATATTTGAAAATGTTTCGACAAATGGATGGAAATGTAGCTATTGTTAAACAAATGCAATATACATTACAGTGATTCTTCCGATGTTCCGCTGCACCGCATAAAGAAATAACAATTATTAATACATAATAGCAGTAGACACATATAACCAAACAATAATCCCTAAACAAAAATAAGTAAATATAATAGATACATTTAAGTAAATGAAACAAAAAAGACATCTAGAAATATTAGCATGGCTAATGCTAATATTAGCCTATCAGCACAAAACTAACATTACATTTTTGTCATTTAGCAGACGCTCTTATCCAGAGCAACTAGGGTTAAGTGCCTTGCTCAAGGGCACATCAACAGATTTTTCACCTAGTTGGCTCGGGGATTAGAACCAGCGACCTTTCAGTTAATGGCACAAAGCTCTTGACCACTAAGCTACCTGCCGCCCCGACATAAACTAAGTATACATTCATTAATGCTAGTCTGCTGTCTTGGGGTTGCCTTTCACCATTGTGGTCTTTATTTTATAATTATCTTACGAGACGGATACTTGAGGGTGTTGGAGCTAGTGTTTTAGCTAAAACACTGGAAGTGATAAATGAATGAAGGAATTCATTAATTTAAAAAAAATAAGTGTCAAATTGTCTATTAGTGACCCATCCCTTACGGGATTATTTGACACATTGTTAAACAAATATATAATATAATTACAGTTCTTCTGATGTTCCGCTGCACCGCATAAAGAAAGAAAAAATATCAATACATAATTACAGTAGATACAGTTAATAACCAAACAATTACCCTCAAACTAAAATAAGTACATAAAAGTTATTCATCATACATGGCCAGGTGATAAATATAAGTAAATGAAACCGAAGAGGCATCTAAAAATATTAGCATGGCTAATGCTAATAATAGCCTGTTATCACTAATGACATAAACAAGTATCAAGTGAACTAATGCTAGTTTGCTGTCTTGGAGTTGCCTTTCACCTCATGTTCTTTATTTGAATTAATATCTTACGAGACGGATACCTGAGGTTTCTCTCCCTAATGTTGTTTATCTCTAGACTAGACCACAGCAATGGGAATGTGTTTTAATTTGGCATGTGGCTTCCCTGTAACTCTGACTAGCTCTGAGAACATGCCAGTGGGAGGCAATAAATCGGGCGGATGACAGACTGGTTGCTCTAGTACTCAATTACACATGTGCTTGTTTATGATTAGACCACAGAGAGAGAATTAGCTAGCCTAGCAGACATGCTATTAGAGTTAGCACAGCTAGCATGGCAGCAGCAATATGCTGTACCACCAAGTCAGTGAAAGCTAAAGCTAATGACATAATTATTGATTAGATTAGATGTGACATGAACGGTCACCCCATGGCTCAGGGGCCCCGTGCAAAGCTGTTGGAGGAAACTGAAGCGTTTCACATAGTCATAATGAAAATTCACAGAGTTATAATGAGACCAAAGACCAAGGAGGATTTCTCCGAATATTAAAGTCAGACTGCTTTGCTGTCCATTTTATTGCAAAGGTTATCGCAATTAGAATAAGAAGATGCCGTCAAGTGTGATAGAAGATTATCCAAAGAGCTAAATGTGAGAAGCATTTCTTTTTACCCAGACAGAGCAATCATTTGTTAGATTGATTGCCAATGAAATACAATGAGACACAATTCAAGTGATAATTAATGCAGCATTGCTAACTAGCATTGTTTCTCAAATGTATTCACGCATCGACACACTTTTCTATAATTGACCACTCTCACTCTGTTTGGACTGATGTGACCCAGTATCATTCTAACGGTCATTACCTTTCTTAACCCATTCCTGACCCAGACTTCCGTTCTTGTCATTAGTGTTCACATAAATAATGCTCAATTCGGCTGATGCCTCTTATAAGAGGTTTCAAACTTCTGCTGTAGTCTGTCAACACTATACTGTTCTAGGGGACTCTCAAAACACAACAAATACAATAACGCTCCTATTATGCGTAACACAGACTTAGTGTAGTCATGATAATGGAAATTAATATTCAACTTTATAAAGGTAACTAATTTCCGCATGCCACCACAGCACTATGACAGAAATGTGTTTAAAACACATAACTTAAAATAGGATTTCAAACTGTTGAGGACCCCTATATGTTCAAGTATACATTCAAAAGCCAGTCTTACCTCAAAGAAGGTGGTTCTGCTCATATTGTAGGTTTATACAGTATGTCCTTCTCACACCTCACACACTCAGAAGGAGCAGCTCCTTCCCTTCCCAGCACTGACCCCCTTCTCTCCCTCCTCTCCCTCTTTCCCTCCTTCCCTCCCTTCATCTCTCATTCTCTCACTCCCTGCCCTCACTGCTCATCTGTTCATCTGAGTGTAGCACCACAGGCACTTCAGAAACACAACACCCTCAATTTCTCTCCCTCTCATCCCTCTCTTCTACTCTATGCCAGGGAAGCCCTTGGCAGGGTCCAGGCTGGCAAAAATAGAAAACGGCTTCTCCAAGTTATGGTAAGGAATGTATCTGGGCTGCATATTACTGTTGCTTGGCCAGCTGTGAGTAGAGAGAGAGAGAGAAAGAGAGAGAGAGAGAGAGAGAGAGAGGAGAGAGAGAGAGAGAGAGAGAGAGAGAGAGAGAGAGAGAGAGAGAGAGGCAGGCAGGCAAACATGGTGCAGAGAGAGGAACCCTGCAGAATCCTACAAGAACATTTAC